CTTTCTTTCAGTTCTTCGGTGCCCCTTTTAACCTAGCTCGGTGGTTCTCACCCAGCATTCCTGCCTTTTTTTTTTTTTTTTTTTTTAAATGACAAATACTTTGTAACATCCTCTTCATTATCCTCAAAATGCAATTCAGTGGTAATATACTCTACCTATAAACAATTTTAGAAGGAAAGTAAAAATTAAATAAAATTAATATCAACATAAAAGGGAATGAAAGGTACATAACTTGGGCACAACTATACTACAAGACCTCATTAAGTAGTCAGACGTTTTTTACATCTACTTATAAAGAATAAATCTGAACTTAAAAGAAGGTAGGAGATCAGAAGCTATTCTGCATAACGAAGTATGGGAAAATAAAAAAGCAGGGATACGAGTGGACATTGGAATCAAAACTAGTGATACAGTAACTTATCTGCATATGATAATACTTATTTCTATAAGAGAAAGAACGAAACCACCTTAACTGAAATGAAGATACTATGCAAGAAAATCTAGGGACTTCCCTGGTGGTCCAGTGGTTAGGACTCCGTGCTTCCAATGCAGGGGGCGGTAGTTCGATCTCTGGTCGGGGAACTAAGATCCCACATGCTGTGTGGTGCAGCCAAAAAAATTTAAAAATTAAAAATTAAAAAAAAATAATAAAATAAAATAAACTTAAAAAAAGAGAAAATCTACAGATTGTCGAAATGGAGAAAATGAGGAAATAGCTATATTCTTGCAGGCGAGCTCTAGGTCATACACGAATGTCTAGTGAGACATTCAAAATTCGTATAGCATGCAGAATAATTACTTATTGTGAGGAGCTGTCCAACGTATTGCAATGTATTCAGCATACTTGGCTCTCACATACTAAATGCCAGTAGCGCCCTCTCCCCCACTGCCACTATGGTGGCAACTACAAACCCTATCAGATCTATTCACCTCTTTCAGAGCAATTTGTAACATCCCCTTTGCTGTCCTGAGATGATTCAGATACTACAATCTACATGAATTTCTTAAGAAATCAATTTACTGCCCTATCTATTATAATGGAGAAACAGAAGGAAAGAAGTTTGTAATAAAGATAAAATGAATATCAATGTGTAAATGCTCCAGCATGACCACGCTATACGACATCATGAAATAGATACCTACTTCTACTTATAGTGAATAGGTTTGGATTTAAGAGTCGATCAGAGGCTATTTCCCGTAAAGAAGTACAGGAGAAGGAAAGATTATTAGTATGGGTGACACCAGAATGAAAACCAGTATTAGGGTAAGTCATAACAGACCATATACCATCTCTGTATGTGGTAAGGGAAAGAGCGTAGTTACGTTAATTGAAATAAGGATAATAGGACAAGACAAATTACAGATTGTCTAAGAGGAAAAAAGGAATTATATTTTCTCAGGCGAGCTGTAAGTCCTACATAAATGTCCAACAGGACATTAGAAAGTCGCATAGGGTACCGAATAATTCTTTGTGTGGGACTAACCCATACACTGCAGGGCATCTGTTTTCCCTAGCTACATCCACTCAATGCCAGTAAAAGTCCGCAATTATCGTGAAGCCAACAATCCATCAATTTCTAAAATACCACAGTGAGAACCACTCACTTAGTTAACACCTAGCATCTTTAGATTAGCTTACTAACCTCCATAAGGAGTCCTTCTATAGATTAAATTGGATGCTTGCCTCCCGGATCTCTGGTTTTTAAAACACTTTGCGCCTTGCTTTGTTCATTTTAAGCATCTGTCCAACCTGGTGTTGTTTGCTTTCCGCATTAGAGTGTGAGCTCCATGAGAGCTGAGTCAACCTGTCTTGTTCACTGTGCCACCCCAGATACCTAGCTGCCCGCTTGATATGCTGATACATTGGATAAATTTTGTTGAATAAAGTAAGCTCAACTTCTTATAATTCAGTAGTTGTATTCCTTCCTGTTCTTCTCCAAGCTCCATTTGAGATTATCTAATAAAAGGAAATAAATATTAATTTTGGCTCTGCTGCTTTTATTTGCTCTATTTCCAGGTATCTCCAAAAAGGTAATCAATTGCAGATACCAGTTTATTCAATGGGGGATAGAGGATGTGTGTTGCCCCTTCCAGCTTCATCATTCCAGGACTCAATGACCAAGGAGCCTTTAGCACACTGCCAGGGGAAGGTGGGGTGGCTGTGATGCAGAAGCCTGCAGTTGGTTGGCACATCTTTTGTCTAAGGGCTGAGACAGGGAGACGCTGGAAACTGCTGACGCACCTTAGGGGTGGGAACAGGGCCAGGCTGAGGCACAAAAGTTAAAAAAATGTAAATGATCTTCAGCAGAATTGTCCTATCAGTCACTCCTTCAAAAGCCCTTCTCCACTCTTTTTTTTAAAAATAAATTTATTTATTTATTTATATTTATTTTGGCTGTGTTGCTGCGCGTGGGCTTTCTCTAGTTGTGGCGAGTGGGGCTACTCTTCGTTGTGGTGCGCGGGCTTCTCATTGCGGTGGCTTCTCTTGTTGCGGAGCACGGGCTCTAGGCGCATGGGCTTCAGTAGTTGTGGCTCGCGGGCTCTGGAGTGCAGGCTCAGTAGTTGTGGCGCACGGGCTTAGTAGCTCCACGGCATGTGGGATCCTCCCAGACCAGGGCTCAAACCCGTGTCCCCTGCATTGGCAGGCGGATTCTTAACCACTGCCACCAGGGAAGTCCCCACTCATTCGTTTTTCTTTATTATTATTATTATTTTTTTTTCCGGTACGCGGGCCTCTCACTGTTGGTGGCCTCTCCCGTTGCAGAGCACAGGCTCCGGACGCGCAGGCCCAGCGGCCATGGCTCACGGGCCCAGCCGCTCCGCGGCATGTGGGATCTTCCTGGACTGGGGCACGAACCCGTGTGCCCTGCATCGGCAGGCGGACTCCCAGCCACTGCGCCACCAGGGAAGCCCCTCATTCGTTTTTAATCATAAAGCTTTGGATGGAGAGAGAAAACCTTTATATGGCAACATAGATATGATTAAAGTGAAGGTAAAATTTGCCATTTGATATGGACTTCAATGTAAATAAAACAATGTATAGCCAACTCATTGCTGTCAAAAACACCTACATTCAAATATACAAAGTGGCATCAAACCAAGCATGAGCAGATGTTTGAGTTTTTCCACTTAGTTATTTGTTCCATTTGTTTATTTACTTTGCCATAGCAGGCTCTCAATTTTTCAGAAATGTTTGATGTTGCTACTCCCCAAGGTTCTATCCTCCCATCTCTGTTCCTCACTTTATTTGTGCTGAGTGACCTTATCAACTCTCACAGCTCCAATTACTAGTACTCTGATGTCACTCAAATAGATAGTCTCTTCAATCTTTCTTAAGCTCTTGACTTGTAAATACAACTGCCCACTGAGCATCTTCTCTTGGATTGCCCACTGCAAACAGCACAATAAAAATTGAGATGATAATCCCTCAACTCCTGTTTCTCTTCTGTTATTCCTTATCCTGTCCTGCTTTTCTAGAAATCCATTCTCATTACTGCCAGGGATCTTTCTAAAACACCTATCCTACATTAGAAGTGTTGAGGAAAGTTACAGTTACTTTTGTTAATTATGAAAATGATGTTAGGATTATGTAGGAAAATTTACCATTTTTAAAAGTCATGCCTACTGAAGTATTGAGGATTGAATTATCTAGAAATTGAAATGGAAACTTACAAGTTCTCAGCCAAAACAATCAGGCAAATAAAATAGGACGAGGTGTTAAGATTTTATAACACGAGGAAATAGATATATATGGGTGCTTATTTCACTGTCCTCTAATTTCCTGCTTGAAAAATTGTCTACTACAAAATTTTTTTAAAAACAAAACAAAATAAAAAACACCTATCCTACAATATAGCCAGGCACTGTTTTTAAGTGTTGGGGATACAGCAAGGAATAAGACACACAAAATTCCTGCTTTCACACGTTTGAATTCTACAAATATATAAATAAGTAAGAAGTAAAACATGAGTGATAAGTTCCATGCAGAGACCTGGGTGCTACTTTAGGAAAGGCCTTGCTAAAGAGAAGACATTTAAGATCAGAGTTGAATGACAAAAAGGAGACATCTAGAAGGGGGTGCGGGGGAGCATTCTAGGCAGAGGGATCACCGTCACTCGCCAGCGGAAATTCCTTCAGTAGCTTCCCAAAGTCTTCCGTAGCTTCCCAAAGTCTTCCGTAAATCCAAATTTCTTAACCCGGCAGAGAAGGTCTTCTGGCATCTGGAAGCTAAAGTGGCCTTCCTCTTTGGCTTCTTTATGTGACATTAACTCGTTTAATCCTCACAACCGCCCTGTTAAGACAGCAACTCGGCTAGTTGAGTTCCTCAATTATGTTTTATTCATCTTTATACTGTTGCTGCATTAGCGGTTGGCTCAAAAAATAGTCATTAAATCAGCGTGGTGTTGGGCAAAAAGATAGCTCCTTAATAAATGTACAGGTCTAAACAGGTGCTGTCCAACAGAAATATAAAGTGAGCCATTTTACATTTTCTCATAGCTACATTAGAAGTAAAAGAAACAGATGAAATTATAATAACGTTTTATTTAAATATTATCAGTTTAACATCATGAATATGAAGTTTACACTCTGCATTCTAAAGTTTCCAAATCCGGTGTATGTGTATTTCACACTTGAAGCACGTTCCAACTCGCACTGGTCACATTTCAAATGCTCAACTGTGGCTAGTGGCTAGGTCCTGAGGTCTTCCTCTCCCAGCTACCTAACGCCGTCCAGCTAGGCACCTTCTACCACATTCCCTGTTTCATCTTCTTTGTAGTCCTTACCAGTATCTCAGATTCCCCCCGACTATACGAGCCCCTCCAGGCGAGGACTTAACCTTGAAGGGTGCCTGGCGCAGAGCAGGCGCTCAATCAAGTCTGTCCCCGCCCGATTCGCGCCCAGGGTGGACCCAGGCCCCGGGGCCCGCCTCTCTGCGCCGCGGCCCGCGGGCGGCCGCCCCTCGCCCACCCGCCCCCCGGCCCGCCCCGGGAACGGGGTTTGTAGTCGTGGACGTGACTGGGAGGAGTGTGCCCGCCTCGGATTTCCGCACAAGGAGCCGGGCCGCGACCATGGCGGAGCCCACGGTATGCTCGTTCCTCACCAAGGTGCTGTGCGCCCACGGCGGCCGCATGTTCCTGCAGGATCTGCGCGGCCACGTGGAACTCTCGGAGGCCCGGCTGCGGGACGTGCTGCGCCAGGCCGGGCCCGACCGCTTCCTGCTGCAGGAGGTGGAGGTGCGGGAGGACCCGTGGGACGCCGAGGCCGAGGTGGCGGCCGGCGCGGGCGGCGCGGGCGGCGGCGGCGGCGGCCCCTCGGCCTGGCGGGTTGTGGCTGTGTCCTCCGCGCGCCTCTGCGCTCGCTACCAGCGCGGCGAGTGCCAGGCCTGCGACCAGCTGCACCTCTGCCGCCGCCACATGATGGGCAAGTGCCCGAACCGCGACTGCTGGTGAGGCTGCGGACGGGTCGGGGCGGCGGGCGGGACGCGGCGGTCAGGGCGCACGGGCCGCGGGCCTGGCCTGGCCAGCCGGAAGCGGGACCCAGCTAGGAAGTAAGAAAAGGGGTCGTTGGTCCGGGCCTGACGCCCCTCTCCGGAAGGGCGGAAGGAAAGCCCCGGGAAGGGGCCCCTCAGGGTCCTTCGCTGGGAGGCCTCCCCGCGCTCCCAGCTGCGGAATGAGGCGGAAGATCGTCCGGACTTGGACTTCTCAACAGCCTCCCCCCGCCCCAGATTGCAGCTTCTTCCCCCCCCCCCTCCCGCCCCTCGAGATCTTCCACAGCACGGCCGGGATAAATCAAGTTGGGACTTTTGCGTTCATTTCCACCAGTGGCCTTTTGGGGGCCATTTGAGGACCCCATGAGATTCATGGATCCTTTATCCAGAGATCGGCCCTTCCCACTTGAGCACAGTTTTACAGACGCGAGTCTGTGCTCTCTAGGTTTAGAAAGAGCGATTTAGTTTGCCCCCCCCCCTCCAGGAAACTGAGGGCTGGATGATTTGGAAGAGGTCGTTAGAGGCGGCCTCCTAACTCCAGTCTTCCTCGGTTTCCTCTAGCCCCCCAAAGCGGGGTGGGGGGAGGAGGCATGCATTCTGTTTAAGGTTGGTGGATGGTGGGGTGCGCAGCCGCTTGGGGTGGAGAAGGCCCAGTGCGGTCCTCTGCAGAACCCACCCACGGGCACCCTCTGTCAAGGCAGGTGACTGGGGGAGGGGGTCCCTTTGGCCTTAAAGCATCCTCATTCAGAATTAAATGGCTCTGGGAGGGGAGTTGCTTCATCCCAGCTTTCTTATTATCAGAGCTTATTAGACTGTAGTATCCATGGGTTCATGGAAAATTGTATAACTTCACCTGCAAGTTGAAAGTGACCCTAGGGAAGGGATTTGACAGTCTGGCCCCTCCTTCATCTGGGCCTCTGATCCAGACCTTTGTGTTCTAGGTCTACCTGCACCCTTTCTCATGATATCCACATACCTGTCAACATCCAAGTCCTGAAAAACCAGGGACTGTTTGGTCTCAATGAGGCCCAGCTTCGGATCCTTCTTTTGCAGAATGACCCCTGCCTTTTACCAGAGGTGAGTCACTAAGGAGTCACCCTCATATTGTCTGCACCTTGAAAAAAGTCAGGGGAGAACCTCAACAATCTGCTTACAGAGGACAGCCTGAGGGGAAGGGGGGGTGGGTATGATACAGTGCTGGCCTTTCTGCAGTCTGTGATTTTATTGGGCTTTTATACACAAGAAGTGTGGTATAGAAATAACAATAATGGCTACTGGTTTTTTTGAGTTCTTACTGAATGCTGAGTAATTCGTATACCTTAGCTGATTTATAGCCTATGAGTGAGGTATGCCTGTCCCCATTTTACAGGGGAGGCAACTGAGGCTCGATTAAATAACTTGCCCAAGGTCACATAGAAAATGGCAGATTTGAATTTAGTTTTGTCTGATTACGAAGCCTGTGTTCTGTGAATTACCTGTTTATACTTTTGTTGACTTTTCTATCCAGGCGTTTGTCTTTTCCTGTTAATTCATAAGATGTCTTTAACGATACAGATCCCTTTTTTGGTCACTTTGTTACAAATATCCCCCCCCATTTACTTTTTGGGGGCTTTAGATATTAATTTGAATTGTTTTGGAACTGCATTATGTTGTTCCAAAGGTACCCATTATAACTGCTATAATGGCAGAATTAGCACATTTGTATCTGTTTAGCTATACACAAAGAATTTTTTAAACAGAAGGGTTGGAATCCCCAAAGAAAGTATTACGAGAGATCTTGGCAGGAAGGGAGAGGAGGATGCGGCAGCTATAGGGGGGCGGGGGGGGGGGCGGTCTGTTTTGTCTCAGAGAGAAGGGGCAGTGCAACTTCTGTTTACCTTTAGTGTTTATGAGTTTTTTTGACTTATAGAAGCTTAACATTTTTCAGTTGTTAAACTTAATGCATTTTTTTCTTTATGGCTTCTACCCGAGTACCCTGGGTCCAGCCTCATCTTGTCATATTAGACTATGTCAGTGTTCTGTGAGCAGTTGATGGGTTAGCTGCATTTAAGATAGGAGCCTGCCTTCGGTCTAATCATCTGGAACTGGAGGTGTGTGGCACGTGGCACAAAACACGGCCACTTAGACAGCAGGGACCGTGGACAAGCACAGTGGATGAGGCAGGAGTGGTACCTCACGTCTCGTGTGTGAAAATGCCTGGTGATTCCTTTCTGCCACACTCCTAAAGATTCAGTATGTAATATAGGTACCGTACACATAAAAAATCAATAAGGGGCAAGTATTGTGATATTGTGGTTTATAATAAGAAATATATATTTGGTCTTTGTCTCTGCCCCTGGCACAGAGTTCCTAAGATCCTTGGAATTTCCTAAATTTTTTTTTAACTTTTTATTTTATATTGGATTATAGTTGATTAACAAAGTAGTGATAGTTTCAGGTGTACAGCAGAGTGATTCAATTATACATATACATGTATCTATTTTTTTTCATATTGTTTTCCCATTTAGGTTGTTACATAATATTGAGCAGAGTTTCCTGTGCTATACAGTAGGTCCTTGTTGGTTATCCATTTTACTTTTTTAAAAAATTAATTAATTTATTTACTTATTAATTCTTGGCTGTGTTGGGTCTTCGTTGCTGCGCATGGGCTTTCTCTAGTTGTGGTGAGCAGGGGCTGCTCTTCGTTGCGGTGTGCGGGCTTCTCACTGCAATGGCTTCTCCTGTTGCAGAGCACAGGCTCTAGGTGCGCGGGCTTCAGTAGTTGCAGCACCTGGGCTCAGTATTTGTGGTGTGCGGGCTCCAGTAGTTGTGGTACACAGGCTTAGTTGCTCCGTGGCATGTGGGATCTGCCCGGACCAGGGCTCGAACCCATGTCCCCTGCGTTGGCAGGCGGATTCTTAACCTCTGCACTACCAGGGAAGTCCCTGGTTATCCATTTTAAATATAACGGTGTGTACATTTCAAACGTGAGAGCGATAAAAAGTGACTTTTGTTATGTTCATGTGGTGACTTTTGGAAAGCCTCTAGGTAACCTAGGGATGGGAGCTGGTTTCCCTAATAACCAGTCATGTGATTAGAAGGTTGGAACTTTCAGTCCCACTCCCACCTCCTGGGAGGGAAAAGGGCCTAGAGATTGAGTTCAATTACCAGTGGCCCGTGATTTAAACAATCATGCCCATGTAATGAAGCCTCCATAAAACACCCAAAAGGATGGCTTTAGGAGAGCTTCCAGGTTGGTGAACATGTGGAGGTGCCGGAAGAGTGGCGCCCAGATAAAGCATGGAAGCTCCACACCCTTTCCCACATACCTTGCCCTATGCATCTCTTCCATCCAGCTATTCCTGAGTTATATATCCTTTTATAATAAACTGGGCATAGAGACTTATACCATCATATCTTAAAATATAAACTACTTTCATTAAACAGTGTGATACTGGTTCCAGAATGTACAGGAGATCAAAGAAAACAGATCCTAGACCTAGCCCCCAAGTCAGAATAATCTATTGCTTCAAGATTTACTAGAGCCGAGCAATTAAGACCATATGTGCTTAATACTGTCTTGTAGAAGCCTTAACTTATACTCGTTTTGTGAGTTTTTTTACATTTTTATTTTAATGCTTTTATTTTTCAAAAAACTGTTCTGGCTTCCTGTTTCTTTTTTTCATTAATTGATTCTCACTTCTTTCCTTTTTCAGATGAGCTTTGGAATCATTCAAATTCCTAAAACTATTTTATAGGAATTCTTTGGGGGAGGTAGGAATTGCACTAAAATTATGGGTTCATTTTAGAAAATTGGCATCACAATCGTATACCGTGTTTTGGCTTTACTGATTGAAGTATAATTGATGTGCAGTATTATGTGGGTTTCATATGTATGACGTTTAAATACCTATGGAATGATCACCATGGTAAGTCTAATAATCATGTCTCCATACAAAGTTATTACAGTATTATTGACCATATTCTTTATGCTGTATATTATGTCACCATGACTTTAAAAAAAATTTTTATTGGAGTATAGTTGATTTACAATGTTGTGTTAGATTCTGCTGTACAGCAAAGTGAATCAGTTTTACATACACATATATCCACTCTTCTTTAGATTCTTTTCCCATGTAGGTCATTACGGAGTATTGAGCAGAGTTCCTAGTGCTATGCAGTAGGTCCTTATTAGTTATCTGTTTTATATATAGTAGTCTGTATATGTCAATCCCAATCTCCCAATTTATCCCTCCCCCTTCTTTCCCCTCTGGTAACCATAAGTTGTTTTTTTTTTTACATCTGTGACTCTATTTCTGTTTTGTAAATAAGTTCATTTGTATCATGTTTTTAGATTCCACATATAAGCAGTATCATATGATATCTTTGTCTTACTTCACTCAGTATGACAATCTCTGGGTCCATCCGTGTTGCTGCAGATGGCATTATTTCATTCTTTTTTTTTTATGGCTGAGTAATACTGCATTGCATGTATGTACCACATCTTCTTTATCCATTCCTCTGTTGATGGACATTTAGGTTGCTTCCATGTCCTGGCTATTGTAAATAGTGCTGCAATGAACATTGGGGTGCATGTATCTTTTCGAATTACGGTTTTCTCTGGATATATGCCTAGGAGTGGGATTGCTGGATCATATGGTAGCTCTAGTTTTAGTGTCCATACTGTTCTCCATAATAACTGTACCAATTTACATTCCCACCAACAGTGTAGGAGAGTTCCCTTTTCTCCACACCCTCTCCAGCATTTATTTGTAGATTTTTTGATGATGGCCATTCTGACAGGTATGAGGTGATACTTCATTTTAGTTTTCATTTGCATTTCTCTAATAATTCGTGATGTTGAGCATCTTTTCATGTGTCTCTTGGCCATCTGTATGTCTTCTTTGGAGAAATGTCTATTTAGATCTTCTGCCCATTTTTTGATTTGGTTTTTTGTTTTTTTGATATTGAGCTGCTTGAGCTATTTGTATATTTTGGAGCTTAATCCCTTGTTGGTTGATCCCATGACTTTTTATTTTCTGAAAATTTTTTTGAAGTATAATTATTTACAATATTATATTGGTTTCAGGTATATAACAGTGATTCAATATTTTCATACATTATGAAAAAATCACTACAGTGAATCTCGCATGACTTATTTTATAACTGGAAGGTTGTACCTCTTAATTCCCTTCAATTATTTCACCCATCCTCCACCCACCTCCCTTCTGGCAACCATTCATTTGTTCTCTGATACCATTTTGTTTTAAACCAGGTCATTTGTGTCCACTAGAATTTTCCCACATTTTAGGTTTGACTAATTGTGTGCCTCTAATATCATTTTAACATGTTCCTCTATCCCCTGTATTTACTGTAAATTGATAGATCTGGACCTTTGATTGGATTTAGGCTTGATTTTATAGAAGAATTTTTTGTATATTTGGTATATTGTTAGGGTGACTAACAGTCCCTGGCTGCCTGGGACTGGGGGCTTTCCAGCCATGGCAGACTTTCATGCTAATACCTGGAAAGTTGTATTTCCTATTGCATCATCTCAGGAGGTACACAGTGTCTGGTCCCAATGCAAATATTAATATGCCCTAGTTTAATTTGCCCTAGTTTGGATAATAAATTATCTGTTCACGCTTCCAGGTTGGTTTCCCTGGAAGCAGAGCCTGACATAGTGTTTTAGGTGCATGTGATCTATTGAAGGAGGGATCCTTGGGGAAAATCTGTAAAGTAAAAAAGAGGGAAGGGAGAGTTACAAGCAAGGTGAAGTCTGGCCTTGGCTTTATTCATGCCGGGGCTCTAGAGCAAAAATTACATCGAAGAATGGTTCTAGCCTTGAGGCAAGGGGGCCAGCCTTTTGTACCTGCATAGAAGTCACTCATTGGCTACAGGCTCTGGGATAGGAGGGCGGGCCAGCTGAGGGTCAAGGTCAGAGAGGGGCAGCTGAACATTAGTAACAGCTAGGGGAGATATGGGTGGAGGAACTATCATTTACCCATCTGCCTTTCACCCATGATGATTTTTTTTTTGGGGGGGTTCACGGGCCTCTCACTGTTGTGGCCTCTCCCGTTGCGGAGCACAGGCTCCGGACGCACAGGCTCAGTGGCCATGGCTCACGAACCCAGCCGCTGCGCGGCATGTGGGATCCTCCCGGACCGGGGCACGAACCCGCGTCCCCTGCATCGGCAGGCGGACTTTCAACCACTGCGCCACCAGGGAAGCCCCCATGATGATTTTAATAGCCACTGATGATCAGAAGGTGCCATTTAGAGAAGCTGTCCTTTATTGGCTCAAGAGATACAGTGAAAATGAATGTCCTAAGTGTTGCTTCACTTCTGTACCAGGTCTGTTTGCTCTACAACAAAGGTGAAGCCCTGTATGGTTACTGCAACCTCAAGGATAAATGCAACAAGTTTCACGTGTGCAAGTCCTTTGTCAGGGGAGAGTGCAGGCTGCCCAAGTGCAAGCGGTCTCATCAGCTAATTCACGCTACATCCCTGCAGCTGCTGCAGGACCAAGGATCGAATATTCCAAGTGTCGTTAATTTTCAGATAATTGCTACCTACAGGCACATGAAGCTGCACAAGACGCTTGAAAATAAAGGTGAGACTCTCAGAGGTAGACAGAGCACTGTCAACAGTGTACACTGAGCTGAAAGTGAGTCTGGGGAAAAAGCACTTCCTAGGTTAATTGCTGCTCTGTCCTTGGGGGAGCTCCGTCAGTCAACATTCTATGATACGGAGCTGTGGTTCTAACCAAAGGAGGGAAGGGATGGAGTTTATTTTCAGTGCTGCCAGCTAATAGCCTCTGCCCAAGTGTTTGAACAGTGTAGCTCCTCGGTAAGTTGGGGGTCAGGAAGTAGGGAGAACAGTCTTAACCGCTTTGGTAGGTGACAAGAGGAGGGAGGTGGGCTAGTGACTAGAATCTAGGTAAGGATAACGTAGGGATGGCTTTCTTTTATTAAATTGAGTTAAAGTTTTTTCTTAAATTTTTAGGAAATTTTAACCACATTACAGAAGAATTTGGAAAATAGAGAGTCAAAATAAAAATGACATATGACCCCACTCACTCTAATCCATAGTAATTGGTACTGTTTAATTACAGGCCCTTCAGTCCTGTTACTAGAAAATACTAGTCCAGTGGTGGTCAAAGTCTGCATTAGTTTAGTATCTTTCATTTTCACGTTCTACAACATCATAAATATCTTCTCATATTGCCACATAGTCTGTCCTTTTTTAAGGTCTATAAAGTGTGGCTTGGTTTTCTTAAATCACAATGCGGGAGTACTTACTCCATTAGATTTGCTTATAGCTGAAAATCAGTTTCATTGGGTGGTGGGCTTTGGAGAATTGCTGATAGGAAAACCAGATCATCAAAGTCAGAGTCCCTAAGCTTTAATATGGAATTTTCTTGTGTTGGGATGGTAGTGGCCGACTATGAGTGGTGGTTTGAAGGTAGGGAGGGTTCTGCATGTACCAGTGTCAGAGGCTGTGTAGGTGTGTCCCTAAATGGTGGCAGGGACATTCTGCCCTGTACTGTGGGTAGGGCCTGTTATTCTCTTGATCTGGTCTTGTTTAGTGGGTCTCTCCTAGCTATGAAATGTGACTTTCTGCTTGCTGTTGAGATATATAAATATATATGTATATTTTACTCCAGAAGACACGAACTCTCCAAATACAAAGTGTTGGGAGTTTTATCGGTGATCTGATTAGCTGGGCTGATGATCCCAATGTAGAATGAAATTTAGAGTAAAGGGGTATGTCAGGAAACCTCATCTTTTTCTTCTTCTTTTTAGATAATTCAGCTTCTTCTGCTGAGCATTCCCAGGGCCTTGAGAAACAAGGAGTACGCGTAGCTAGGGCTGCAGAGGCCGGTTCTCTGGTCTCTGGCCCTGCTGAGTCAGCCAAGAAGCCATGTGCAGGTAAACCTTAGAGGACGTCAGTGAAATAAGAAGAACGTTGTCCAATTGGAAGGTCTGAAAACAAAGCTTCTGTTGAGATTTAATTTGTAACCATTCACTCATTTAATCGTTTATTAATAATAGCCATAATGATACCTACCTCACAGGTTGTGGTGAGAATTAAAGAAGATGGAGAAAGAGAAAATGCCAGATTGGGAGGATAAACTTGGGGGTGCGTGGTTGAGGATGAGGTTAGACATTGAACAGGCAAAGGGAGAGTAAAACCTAAGAGTAGATGAGGTCAGTCCTGGGCAAATCCTGCAGTTCCTGAGAGCTTTCCCTGGGCTGGCCGGCCAGAGCTCTTAAAGAGGCAGGCTCCTGCGGACTTGTTCTGAGACCCAGCCAAGTGCTTTTCTGTACGCCCATATACATAGTTTTTACATTGTGGTATTCAGGGACTACATACACTTTATGCTTTTTTTTTTTTTTTTGCTTAATATTCCATAAGCATCTCTCCATATTCACATTTATCATGCGTAATCATTTTCATGCACAGATACACTAATGTATCATCGTTTGCTTAACTAGTTCCATTATTCTGGGATATTTTGATTCTAACAAATTTTGAATATAACTCTTTTCTTAAAATCCACACAGTATTAAGTTTTTACGTTATTCTTTACTTTTGCTTCACGTATAGTTGCTGAATGATACTCTTGATTTTCATTTCTTTAAAAATACATGCGGGAATTCCCTGGCGGTCCAGTGGTTAGGACTCTGCGCTTCCATTGCAGGGGGCATGGGTTAAAATATATATATATATATATATATATATATATATATATATATGCACGTAAATATTCTTCCGTATGTCTTCTTTCCCTATGTCTTTATTTTGTGTAGTTTGTACATGCCCTTTAATTGCTGGGGCCCTCCTCTGTGCTGATGTGACTTGGCCTTTAATGGCTCCTTAATTTTCGTAAAAGCATGTTGACTGTATATGATATGATATCCAACTCTCGTGGGTCCATCCTCAGCCGACACTGCAGAGTGTATAACTTACGGGTGCTCACCAGAGATTTCCACCTCACTCTGTGTACCCTCCATTTCTTTTACCAAAGTCTCAGATTCCTGTAGTATGAAGGATGCGTAGCTCATACATTCCTCTAAGTTGTATCCATTCTTTCTGTGATCAGGATGGACCATCAGAAATCTATATACCTCACCCATTCCATACTGACTTCTCCCTTCCCCCCTTCTCTCTGCCCCCTGCCCACGCAGCTGTCTCTTTTTAGTTGTACCTGGTGTTTATTTCCTTGTTTTCATCAAGGGGTACCACAGAGAAGCAGCTTTGTGAAATTCTTTCCTGTGTTTGTTGTATTAATAGCCACAAATGTTGGTGTGTAAAGTTTTGTTTTTTTTTTTAATTTAACTGTCTGGAAATAACATAACATTTGAGAAATAGGGCCAACGTAGTGAGCTTTTCATCAAGCTAAATTTATTTAATTTAGAAATTTTTTTTTTTTCGGTACGCGGGCCTCTCACTGTTGTGGCCTCTCCCGTGGCGGAGCACAGGCTCCGGACGTGCAGTCTCAGCGGCCATGGCTCACGGGCCCAGCCGCTCTGCGGCATGTGGCATCTTCCTGGACCGGGGCACGAACCTGTGTCCCCTGCATTGGCAGGCAGACTCTCAACCACTGCGCCACCAGGGAAGCCCCTAGAAAATTTTTAATCATGAAAACTTTTCTTTTCCATTGGGGGAGGTGTGCAAAACTGTCCTTTTTAAAGTGAGAAGGTGCTGTGTTTTCTCCTAATGGACAGTAAGAGCCACGCAACTTATGTTAAGCTCTTCATTTTGGTTGCCAACAACAGTATTTCTGAAAGCTCTTATGTTTTGCGTATTTGCTTCTTTTTTCTTAGTTACGATTTCTCCGGTGCTAATTAAAAATTATCTTTATATTTTATTATTATTATTTACATTTTATTCTTTTACTGTTATATTTCTTTTGTAAGCCATGTTAAATCCTTAATGGAAACAGTATAGTGTATAAATGCATATTCTTTACATTAAAAGACTTAGTAGATTTTTACATTATTGTGTTTTATATATATATATATATATATATATTTTTTTTTTTTTTTTTTTTTTTTTTGGCGGTTCGTGGACCTCTCACTACTGTGGCCTCTCCTGTTGCGGAGCACAGGCTCTGGATGCGCAGGCTCAGTGGCCATGGCTTACGGGCCCAGCCGCTCTGCGGCATGTGGGATCTTGCCGGACCACCGGGGCACGAACCCGTGTTCCCTGCATCGGCAAGCGGACTCTCAACCATTGTGCCACCAGGGAAGCCCCTCTTTTTATATATCTTATAATTATGCCTTTATATATGAAGTTATTGACCCTTTGTAATCTTTGTTGCAATATTTTATTCAATTCTATAATATTCCATTTTAATCTTAGTTCCATTGGTATTCATCCTATAAAAACATTTTATGTAATCATACCTGTCTCTTATTTTAATTTGATGGTTCAGCTGTTAGAGAGTTATCAGATTAGAATTTCTTTGGCAATTTATCAGGGCTTATGAGATGAAGCTGCACATCTGTAGGCTTCACAAATTCCAAATACCCTAAATTGAATGACTGACTTTCCTCCAGACTTGTTCCTCCTTTTGTTCTTTATTTTGGAGTGTCAGCACCAAATGACTTAAGCCAAAAACCTGCGAATTGTCCTATACTTTTCCTTTCTTCTTATTCCCTGTGTCAGATTGGTTACCCCATGTTGCAGAATTTTCCACTTTAAAAATCTTGCAAATTTTTATCCTCTCTACCCCTTTCTTTCCATCCCCAACACACTGCCTTTTTCTAAACCCTCATCACCTCTTGCATTTAATTTACAGATTCATAACTCAGTGGTTTTCAAGTCTGTCTTGGGAGAGTTTTTTGTAGGAAGTGCGAGATGGACCCCTGTTCCACTTCAAGGATGGTACCCCCATTGTAATTTTTAATATAATAGGCTTTTGTGGATGCCATTGATCTCCTTACCACCCTTCTCTCCCCCTGCTGCCTGGTTGACCTTTTGAAATGCAGACCTAATCGTACTGCTTTTTTCTGCCACAACCTTCATTGGTCCCCATCACGGAGGATAGAAGTCATAAAACTCAAATCCCTACAGGGACTAGAAAGTTAAGATAAATGGATAAAGTGAGGTGGATGTGAGAGGAATGGGGTAAGAGAGGAAGTGCTGTGGCAAACTGTCCCATCTAAAATGGACAACTGCCTCTTGCTTCCACATGGGAATGCGGGGCCCAATTTGACGTATCATCCAATTTGTCAAAAGCAGCCACAAATCCAGAAATTTTTATGATAAATTTTCTGATTTTAAAATATTGACTTTTAATTGAGTTCTTAAAATGCAGCCCAATATTGCGTGTATTGACCTGCTTGCAGTTTTTGGGATGTGCCATTTTATCTTGTGACTCTCTGTTTGTAAATGATGCTCCCTATAAGTGCCACTCCTTCCCTCCTCCTGCCTCAAAACCAGGCAACATTAGATTATTTAAAATGTCAGGTTAGCCTTTCCTGACCCCAAGACAGGCAGCTCTCCTAGTGTTCTCAAAGCTCTAGCACTTCGTACATTGCATTGCAATGCTTTTATTCCCCGGCTTTGAGCAAAAACATTATTTATTTTTTTGGTAATTATAACACTTGGTAGTTAAATATTTTTTGCCGTATAATGAATTAAGCTCTCCGTTTGAATCTGTTGATTCAGTATCATATTGCTCTCGTTGATTCTCTTTCTCCTCACATATTTTTAGTGTTCAAAGGATCTTTTTTTCCCTAAGGAATGTGTTATATAAGGTAAACATCATTTTGATGCTTCGGTTTGAATTGTCTAGGTCTAAAATTAATTCTTTATGACTTATGTTTATGATACTAATTCTTTCCATTAAGGAATTAAGTCTTCATTATTGACGTATTTCTTGATTTCTTTCATTATAATTTGTTCATGTTTTTGTCTAGGTCATGAATATCCCTTATTGCATAAATTCTTTCTTGGCTAAATATATCTGTATTGCTACTAAGTATGGGAATCTCTATCTTCAGAATGCTATTGATTTTCAAAATATTTGTCTTTAGGTGAGTTGTCTTTGTTCTAACAGTATTAGATGGCTTGTTTGGTTTTTTTTTTAAATATAAAATTGTAGCTGCAAAAATATTTGTCTTATGTATTTCTATTATATCTTTTTGTTAAATAAAATTGTAATAAGATATTTTTGGATATTTCCTCATTTAATATGAAGTTACTTATTGGTTTTAAACAAATATTCTCTATTATAATAAGGGAAATAGCATCCTTTATTCTTGTTTATTAGAAGCTTTTGGTAGGAATTGGTATCTTTTGATATAATCATATAATGTTAACCATTTAAGTTACCTAATATGATTATATTCATGGTTTTCATGATACTAAAACATCCTTAAATTCTTGAGTAAGCTCCACTTGATAATGCCATATATTCTTTTAATGTATTTTTTATCCTATTTGGTAACTTTCAAGTGTATGCATCTAAACATTCATAAATAAATTTCATTTATATGTTATGTGTGTATGTAGTAATTTCCTTTTTATTGCTATATTCTCAAAATATAAATTTTATTCTAGGTACTGTTTTGAGTTTTTGTAAATTGATTTGTAATGTTATTATAATTTTTTGTGTGTGTGTGGTACGCGGGCCTCTCACTGTTGTGGCCTCTCCCGTTGCGGAGCACAGGCTCCGGACGCGCAGGCTCAGCGGCCATGGCTTACGGGCCTAGCCACTCCGTGGCATGTGGGATCTTCCCGGACCGGGGCACGAACCCGTGTCCCCAGAATCAGCAGGCGGACTCTCAACCACTGCGCCACCAGGGAAGCCGTATTATAATTTCTATTAAATTTTCTTTCCAGCTTTATTGAGATGTAACTGACATATAACATTGTGTAAGTTTAAGGTGTACAAGGTGATGATTTGATACATCTGTATGCACATATATATTGCAAAGTGTTTACCACAATAAGGTTAGTTAGCACATCCATCCCCTCACATTCATTATTAGTTTTAAAATAATGTATTATGTATCCTTGAATTACTCTTATTATTTAGGAATATTTTTACAAAAGAATTTTTTTTGGGAGGGGAAATACAATAATATTGTAGAAATTTTGGAGAATACAGGAATTAAGTATTAAGAAGGAAGTCATATAATCGCCCATAATATGACTGTGTAGAGACAATCACTGTTAATAATGTAGGATATTTCTTTCAGTCTTTTTCCATGCACATATTCTTAAATATTGAGAGTATACTATAAATACAATTTCATATTATGCTCTTCTGGATTGATATTGTTTTGTAAGCATTTACCCACATAATTGAAAGCATTCACAATTATATTTGATAGCTGCATTATAGTTTTTAATGTATGATTTATTAATCATAGTCCTATGGTTGGGCATTTATTATTTGCTACATTTTAGTACACTTGATTTTTTTTTTTTATTTGGTTGCGCTGGATCTTAATTTTGACAGGCGGGCTGCTTAGTTGCGGCTCGCCAGCTTCTTAGTTGCAGCATGCAGCCTTCTTAGTTGTGGCATGCGAACTCTTAGTTGCAGCATACATGTGGGATCTAGTTCCCTGACCAGGGATTGAACCCGGGCCCCCTGCATTGGGAGTGCGGAGTCTTAACCACTGTGCCACCAGGGAAGTCCCACACTTGAGTTTTTTAGAGTAGTTTTAGGTTTATAACAAAATTAAGAGGCAGGTGCAGAGGTTTCTCATATACCCTCTGCTCCCACACATGCATAGCCTCTCCCATTATCAAGATCACTCACCAGAATGGTGTATTTTTTAGCAAGGATGCACCTACTTTGTTTTTTTTAGATGTTTATTTTTTAAAATTAAAAAATTTTATTATTTATTTATTATTATTTTTTTAAGGCAAATCCATTTATTCATTATTTTTGGCTGCATTGGGTCTTTGTTGCTGCACGGAAGCTTTCTCTAGTTGTGAGTGGGGGTTACTCTTCGTTGTCATGCACAGGCTTCTTATTGTGGTGGCTTCTCTTGTTGTGGAGCACAGGCTCTAGGCACACAGGCTTCAGTAGTTGCAGCACACGGGCTCAGTAGTTGCGGTGCGTGGACTCTAGAGCGCAGGCTCAGTAGGTGTGGCACACGGGCTTAGTTGCTCCGCAGCATGTGGGATCTTCCTGGACCAGGGCTCAAACCCGTGTCCCCTGCATTGGCAGGCAGATTCTTAACCACTGCACCACCAGGGAAGTCCCAGGATGCACCTACACATCATTATCACCCAAAGTCCATAGTTTACCTTAGGGTTCACTCTTAGTGTTGTATATACTATGGGTTTGGATAAAAATATAATGACATATATCCATTATTGTAATATACAGAGTATTTTTACTACCTTAAAAAGTCTCTGTGCTCTGCCTATCATCTCCCCTCCCCCGCCCGGCAAACACTGATCTTTTTATTGTCTCCATACTTTTGCCTTTTCCAGAATGTCATATAGTTGGAATTACACAGTATGTAGTCTTTTTTTTTTTTTTTTGCGGTACGCGGGCCTCTCACGGTTGTGGCCTCTCCCGCTGCGGAGCACAGGCTCCGGACGCGCAGGCCCAGCGGCCATGGCTCACGGGCCCAGCCGCTGCGCGGCATGCGGGATCCTCCCGGACCGGGGCACAAACCCGTGTGCTCTGCATCGGACTCTCCCCCGCCCCTGCAGGCTGACTCTCAACCACTGCGCCACCAGGGAAGCCCCTGTAGTCTTTTTAGATTGGCTTCTTTCACTTAGTAATATGCATTTAGGTTCCTCCATGTCTTTGGGGGCTCATTTCTTTTTGGTGCTGAATGGTATTTCATTGTCTGGATGTACCACAGTTTATCCATTCACCTACTGAAGGACATCTTGGTTGCTTCCAAGTTTTGGCAGTTATGAATGAAACTGCTATAAATATCCATGTGGAGGTTTTTGTGTGGACATAAGTTTTCAAGTTCTTTGGGTAAATACCGAGGAGTATGATTGCTAGATCATATGGTAAGAGAATGTTTAGTTTTATAAGAAACCACAAAACTGTCTTCCAAAGTGGCTGTACCACCCTTTTCTTGTCTTGTTGCATTAGCAAGGACTTCAGTTCCACGTTGAAAAGAAGGGCTGAGAGGGGACAACATCGTTGTCTTAAAGCTTTGAGTTTCTCACCATTAAGTCTGATATTAGTTGTAGTTTTTTTGTAGATAGTCCTTATCAAGTTGAGAAAGTTCCCCTCTACTTCTAGTTTACTGAGAGTTTTTATCACTAATGAGTGTTGGATTTTGTCAAATGCTTCTTCTGCATCTATTGATATAATCATGTGATTTTTCTTTTTCAGTTGGTCAATGTGATGGATTATGCTGATTGATTTTCAAATGTTGATCCAGCCTTGCATATCTGTGATAAATCCTACTTGGTCATGGTGTATAATTCTTTTCAGACTTTTTTGGATTCGATTTGTTAATAGTTTGTTGAGGAGTTTTGTACATATGTTCATGAGAGAAATTGGTCTGTAGTTTTCTTATTATGTCTTTATCTGGTTTTGGTATTAGGGTAATGTCAGCCTCATAGAATGAGTTAGGGATTAGTCCCTCTGCTACTGTTCTCTGAAAGAGATTGTAGAGAATTGGTATAATTTCTTTCTTAAATGTTTTGTAGAAATCACCCATGAACCCATCTCAGCCTGTTGCTTTCTGTTTTGGAAGGTTATTAATTATGGGTTCAATTTCTTTATGATCTATATGATTTAAAAAATTAATTACAAGTATTACTTTGATAAACACAACAACATTTTTTAATAATGTGAAATTTAAAAAAAAACCAACAAATTTCTAACAATGCTGGCAGTCACTGTCTACTGAGCATGATGAACTAGATGTTCACAAATAGGACACGGAGATTTATCCCAGTGATTTTCCTTGCACAGTTCAATAAAGATCAATCTGATATTGACCAATTACTGGTAGAAGTTCTCAGGGAAAGAAACCTGAGTAAATAGGTGGCACAAGGAGCCAGTTCTCATTTGCTACCTTATTGAGGAAACTAAGACTGTTCTTAAATGGAAAAGAGCTGAAAACATTTGCCTCATTAAAATGAGGCTAATTGCTAAACTTTGCTTCTTGGTTCATATTTCATTAATTAAAATACTTTATAGATAAAGATACTGATATAATTATGTCATTAAGAAGAACAATACATTAATGATTCTATATTTGTTTTTTTAATATCAAAGGTTATTCATGTGAATTGAAGGTTTCTAACATGGTTGATGCCCTAAATGTAAATTCACATTTTTTGAGCTTGTTTCTAAGGTATAAAGGATGACCTATAAAGTGCAAACACACTTTTTTGTAGTAACTACTGGAACTGACAAAATCCTCTAAAATACAAATGAAAGCATCTGAAACAAAAGCTTCAACATCAAAAATCAGTAGAAAAATACTCACAGAAAGAGGAATGGGAGAAAATAGCCCGAGACCAATAAAAAAAAATGTAATAGTACAAAAAGAACAAAGCCAAAAGCAACTGTAGAAATACAAATTTCAAGCAGAATGTTAGATCTGCTTGGGATCTCTAGAGGAGATGAGAGGAAAAACAGATTAGGATAAAACTACTTTAATGTATTTGTAAGTGCTATAAAAATTAAGATAATACCTAAATGTTTTATGCTTAGTAAAAGTATATAACTATATAGTTAAGTCTATACTATAGCCAATCAGTAATGCCAAAGATTAATTGAAAAATCAAATTCAAGACACGGAAGGACTGAGTAAGAGAGTTATAGTATTACCAGCACAATTATTGACCTAAGCATTAGGACACAGCAATACAATTGTAGATTTTTTTTTTAAACTTTTTTATTGGAGTATAATTGCTTTACAATGGTGTGTTAGTTTCTGCTTTATAACGAAGTGAATCAGTTATACATATACATATATCCCCATATCTCTTCCCTCTTGCGTCTCCCTCCCTCCCACCCTCCCTATCCCACCCTTCTAGCTGGTCACAAAGCACCGAGCTGATCTCCCTGTGCTATGTGACCGCTTCCCACTAGCTATCTATTTTACATTTGGTAGTGTATATATGTCCATATATCCACTACCCCTCTCTCTTTGTCCCAGCTTACCCTTCCCCCTCCCCATGTCCTCAAGTCCATTTTCTAGTAGGTCTGCGTCCTTATTCCTGTCTTGCCCCTAGGTTCTTCATGACCTTTTTTTTTTTTTTGGATTCCATATATGTGTGTTAGCATACAGTATTTGTTTTTCTCTTTCTGACTTACTTCACTCTGTATGACAGACTCTAGGTCCATCCATCTCACTACAAATAACTCAATTTCGTTCCTTTTTATGGCTGAGTAATATTCCATTGTATGTATGTGTCAAGAACTGTAGATTAAAAAGAATTTCTGAGGAAGTACTAGACTAGCAGCTTAATCAGGGTTGTAATGAGGAGCATTTCCTAGAATTGGAAACAAAAATAAGCCGAGCCTGAAGTTCAAAAGTCTTCCCAGTGT